ACAATGAGCGTGTGCTACTGCAGGAGCGGTTACAGGAGAAACAAAGCTACTGTGTGGGCACTGCTGAATTCAGTAAGAGTCGTTGTAGATAGATCTGAGCTTCTCTGTGTCCTCTTTGCCTCAGTGTCTCCCAGCAAGGCCTCCCAGGCCTCTGTGGCTCAGGGCAGGACTCTGGAGGAGATCAACCAGTGGTGGATGGGGATCAAGTCAGGGGTCACTTGAGCAAACGCAATCCTTACCAGTCTCTGGGAGAGGAGGGGCAGCACCCCAGGGAGCTGAGTGAGCAGGCCAATGTCACGGTGAAGCCACTCTCCATCGCCTTTGAAAGGTCATGGAGACTGTGGGGACTCCCTGAAAATGGGGGAAATGCACCTTTCAGAAATGCCCGAAGGCTGTGCAGAAGAGCGAAAGGCTGTGCCCCAGACCGTGTTCCCTCGGATCCCATTTCTGGGTGTCTGAAAGAGAAGGGGACTGGATTTAATCAGGGTCGCTTGTCTCTCGACATCCTCTTAGCTTTCTGTGATGAAAGGAGAGGATTGCTGGACACAGGCAGACCAGCAGTTTGCCTTGAATCTGGAATCAGTGAAGTTTCCAGCATCACTCCCCAGAATACTCTTGTGCCCAAGTAAAGATACTATGATCTGTGTGTGTGGATAATTAGATGGGCAAATAACTGGATGGATGGTTGGGCTCAGAGTGACATGGTCAATGCATAGTACTCTGCCTGGAGGCCTGTAGCTAGCAGGGTGCTGCAGGGCTTTGTCCTGCCACCTACCTTGTGTAACGCGTATTTAATGGCCTAGGGGAGATGAGAGAGTGCTTTTCCAGAGCATCTGTAGATGACACCATATTGAGGAGAGCAGATACTACACTGGAGAGCAGACCGGCCATCCCAAATGACAAAGACAAGCTTTAGTAATGGGCCAATATGTACATCAGGATAGCAAATAAGACTAAGCCCATGCAGCTGCACAGACCAGGGACTGCCTAGATGGGCAGCAGCTCTATGGAAAAAGCTTTGGTGGTCCTTCGGTTCCCTCAGGCAAAAGATGAGTAATCAGGAAAGAAGGCCAACAGCATCCTGGGCCATATGAGCCGGAGAACAGCCAGTCTGCTGAGCACTTTTTACACCATATCCAGAATATTCTCCTAGGTTTTGACATCTGACAATGCCAGAGAGATGTTGAAAAACTGGAGCCAGTTCAGTGGAGGGCCATCAAGGCCAGCAGGGTGAGAGAACTTGTACTGTGAGAAGAGGCTTTGAGAGCTGGGCTTGTTCTGAGAGGAGTAGAGGGCAGAGGAGGAGTAGAAAACAACATGTAGTGGCATTGTACAGTTCCTAGGAAGACAGAGTCAGGCTCATGTCCATGACACAAGGACAAGAGGCAGCGGGCTGAAACAAGAGAGGGTCAGCCTAGATATAAGGGGAAACATTTCCAGCAGAAGGACTGTCAAGTGTTGGAAGCTGTTTCCCACGGAGTGTGCACTGGTTCTATCCTGGAATGTGATCAAGATGTGTTTGGATAAAGCCCTGAGTAATCTGTCTGACCCTGCTTTGAGCAGGAGGATCGTCAAGACACCTCCCAAGGTCCCTTCCAGCCTGAATGATGAGGTCCTTCCTTCCCCTTCATGATTTCAAATTAGGGAGAGCTCTTAGGTTCTCCAGAAGTCATTGATATCAGGTGTGGTGCTGCTTCACAGGTGTCCCCAAACAGCCCTGACCACAACCTTTGCTTCCATTTTCATTCACCCAAAGCCAAGTTCTTCTCTTTTACTCCCCTTATACCTTCCAAAAATAACATTTTACAGTTTTAATCCTTTCAGAGGTGGTTGCTCCATAAATGTCAGCATCTGTGTGCAGTCTACAAATGAGCTGGGCATGGAAGCCATCATTGCGGGAACAGAGACGAGGCATTTCACCAGCTCCTTGAACCCACTAACCAGTATGCCATGCCTCCTGAGAGTCCTGGGAACACCTAAACTTTAAGTGCAGAGAAGTGTGAGTCATCTTTAGGTGCCCAGGAGACAAGGAGAAGAGAGCATGCTTCAGATTCCCAAATGCCATGACAGTGCCCAAACAATCCTGCTATCCCATTTCTTGAGATGCAAAACTGATGGGCCTTCTGTCGATAATGCATGAATAATCCTTCAGACATTTCTGTGATTTCCCTAGGAGTGGCAGCAA